ATCAACTGATCCTGCAGCTCACCCACCTCACTGTAATTTCAGGTGGTAAGAGACAAAGGAGGGTTCCAGTTTGTCCTTAATCTCCCCTATTCTGTGTCCATCTGCCCTTCCCAACTTCCAGCCTGCTGACTTTCGACTCAGCTCCAGACACATAGCAACAGCCTTATGTAGACTGCTTAACCAGCTCTTGTGAATTCATAAGCTGAGTAATAATCCCCTGTTCTATCACACAGAGTGGTTCTGCTACTCTGATCAAACCCTGACAGACACTACATAGTATTCTTTGAATATCATTTGGAGGCTATATTTAGTAAGAAATGAAGAACAGGTGAAATCTCTTTTCTGGTCTGTTTATTTGGTGCCCTAAAATGTGTCTTATTTGATAGGAAGAATCAGTCACAAATTTTGCAGAATAGAAAGCAAAGTGCTATCCCCATTTCACAGGCAAGGATATAAGTTTCTAGCCATGTTAATTTGTAAGTTATAGAGTTGTAAAGTAAACCCAACTCTTCTGAAAGAAGTACATAAAAATCAATTCTGCCTGTACCCCCAAAGGGTACACAGGTAAATCAAATGATATTCTGAAGATAAGGAATTCTGAAAGTTGCCCAGAAGAGAATCATTCTTCTCAATCCAGTATAGTACATGCTTATGAAAACAAATTTTCATTTCTCTATGAACAGTTTTTTAATGGCTTCAAAGTGCTTACCTACTTTTCTAAAGTATCAAAGAGTAATTTAAGACCCAACAACAGCTGTCCTGACACTCTGACCTTCAGAATTATTTCCAGCATGCTTTCTTCTACCGCTAGTCTTGTTTTTTAGTCACTAGCAATTGCATATTTCAAAGACAATTCTGTAGTACAAAAGACTCATCATGATAATATTAATCCCTAGTAAAAGTGTGAATTGTATCAATTAAAATTAACATTAAAAATATGAGTTTCATTTTCATTTTGAAAGCTTTATTGAAGCAAATATTTTTTTCTGTGAAGAATCAACATTAAAAAAGGCAAGTAGAATTTGCTAAATGGGTAATAGGAATTTTAATATAATGAGTGGGTCTCATCCAACCAAAGATTAATATGAGGTACAGGTTTTATGCTATAATTATACCAAGTTTTTTGGTTCCACAAATTAATCATTTAAATTTTAATTAGCTGAAAGCACTTGAATTTTTTACTTGAAGAATTTATGCATTTTTCCTTTAAAACTTCCAACTTTGTGGTTATTTTTTTCATTTCAAATCCATTGGTGGATTTTTACCTTCCTAGATATGGCCTCATGATTCCAGTCATCCTAACACATCATGTTTCTCTTTGTGCATGTTGTAATTACAATATCTATCTGTCAACTAGAGAATTGCATGACCCTTTCTTATATATGAGTACATATCTAAAGATGTATAACTTAGCAATATAATTTTTTTGAGAATGAAATACGTGGTAGCCAGTTTCTAAAACAGCCCCCCATGATCTCTGCCTCCAGGTATTCATACCTTTGTGTAGTCTCTTCCAACATTGTAGGGCTAACCTGTGTAACCAAAAGGATTTATAGAAATGACAGTGTGGGATTTCCAAGTCTAGGTCATAAGAGCATTCTGGCTTCTGCCTTGCTTGGTCTCTCTTAGATTACTCACTCCAAGGGAAGTCAGCTGCCTTGTTGTGAGGACATACCAGCATTAACTTTACAGCCATGTGAGGCAGACATCTTTCCAATAATTCTTTCAGCCCTGTAAATCTTTCACATGATTGCTGCCCTAGTCAACATCTTTACTGCAACCCCAACATAGACCCTAAGAGAGAACCACTCAGCTAAGCCATTTCCAAATTCCTGACCCACAGACACTATGTGAAATAATAAATGTTTATTGTTGCTTTGAACCACTTACTCTTGAAGTAATTTACTATGTAGCAACAGATAGCTATTACAAAATAGGACAAGTAAAATTTTTTCCTAAAAACATTTTGTTTTATATATTATAATTTCATTAAATTTAATTTGTTAATTTTTAAGGCTGGTCAAAAACTGTTATGCTAAATGAAATAAAATTTTATAAATATTTATGTTGCTTCATAATATAAGAAATTGTTTCAAAATCAAAATGTCAGCATCATTCATTACTTTAAGAAATGTATATCAGAAAACCTACTATGTACCAGGCACTCATGGACAAAGATGAATAAAACAGCCCATTTCTTGGATAAGTTTAGCTTTCTGAGTGAGATAGACAAGTCACTAGGTGTCTATAATATGATGTGTTAACTGCTTTTAATACAGGTGACCATAAGAAAGAAATCAAGGTGCAGCACATTTTTCTTGTAAAGTCTGGGGATGCTTCACAAAAGAGGGGATAGGTCTTGGATGAATAAGCATTCTCAAAAGAGAACACTGAGGAAAGATTCCTAGTGATATTAATAATTATACAGAGTTTGTGATAAATGAGGTTCTGTTCTAAGCACTTCAAATATATTCACTGGTATAATCCTTTTAACAATCATATTACACAGATAATATTATAATCCCCACTTTATAGATAATAAAACTGAGGCCAAGAGAGAGTAAGTGACTTTCCCAGCATCAGACAGCTAGCAAGTAGTAAGGTCTGGATTTAATACCAGGGAGAGGGAGCACCACAGTTTACATTCTTAACTGTGTAACTATTAATCTTTTTTTGCTCTATTGGGGACTAGGTTCAAGGGGAACAGTATGAGCAGAGGCAGCAAGAAGTGAAAGTACATGTTTTCCTAGGACCGACAGAGAAGAGCAGTAGTAAGTATGGTGGAAAACGGGGTGTACATGCTGAATGACAAGATGAAAATGAAGACCTCAGCCAGGGACTTCAATTTCATGCTGAGGAGTCTGTTCTTAGATGATAGGAAATACTTGATCAGATTTATGTTTTATGAAGATATCTTTAGAGCAACATTAACAGGGAGAGACCAGGTGAGGGAGATAAGAAAATTGCATTAGTATCCTCAAAAGAGAATGAAGATGCGATGTGCAGTAATGGAGATGATGGTAATGAGAGGAGGGGTCCACTATGAGACGCATGAGAGTTAGCAGTCGTGGAATGGGGTGGCTGCTCAGGTGCTGGGGAGACTTAGAAAATGACTTGCAGGTCTCTTTTTGCAGGAATAGACCAATGGTTATTAATAAATATAGGAAATACGAAGAGGTGTCCTCAAGTGGAAGATGTGCTTAATAAACACTTACTGAAAGAAGAAACAAAGTAGTCGTAATACAGAGATTATTTTTTCCTCTATCAATAGACGAAATTCCAGCGGCATAGGCATTATCCATAGCACTTAATTACAGTGGCCCAACAGAAGCTCTACTGTATGTTGTAAATGTGTCTAATATTAAGTAATCTAGACCGAAATCTAATTATAGGTAACTGCACATTTTATAAAATAAAAACAAATTCCTTTCAATGACAATTTCTGTAATGCACTTAAAAATTGTTAATGACAAATATTAGATTTACATGTAATTCTTATATCTATTATAAAAATGAAAAAAAACTATATTTTATCATTGTAATTGTTTCTAAAATTTAAACAAATGAAATTCCAAAAAGGAAAGAAAAAATGAAACACTACAGTCAATGAAGGTTGAAAGGGAATGAAATTTCCATGAGTAAAGGTAAGCAGATGTTTTTCACTTAGAACTCTAGGTCATAATTTTACGTTATAGGCATTGCAACTATATATTCTTTTAAGAGGCCACATTATACAATATACTAAAAATATTGTCTATTTAAAGCAGACATTTATGGCTCTGGCTAAAGGGCTCTTTTGCTTTGGTTGACATCATGGGACTTGTCTCTACCTATTAGATGATGCCCACTTTAGTCCGGCTACCAGTGATACAGCTGACAGAGTCATCTCAGTCATGCCTTCATGCCAATAAACCATGCCAATAAAGAGTTCCATGACTTCATGATATTTATATTGTATTTCATTTGACATCTCTGGCAGAGCCACTTCCTGACACATATAAGAAGTACATGATAAGTAATTGTTGCGTGAGTAAAATTCCATAATGAGAAATAGGGGATTTCTGAGTATAGAGAGTGCAATTTATAGTATTTATAGTGACTGAGTCCTACTGAAGAAAGGAAACAGAGAAGGGAAGAGAACTCGTACATGTGAAAGAGCACATTGAGAGGTTCATGAAATGTTTTGCTTATAGCAAAAATGATAAGCATAGATTCACTCGTCTACTCATTCAGTATTTATTAAGCACCTGACTGATTCCTTTTCTCAAAGAACTCATAGTCAATAGAGGGTGTCAGAAATAGAAATAGATAAATATAATTTTAAAAATATAAAAAACCTTTGAATAAAAAGATGCACAAGGTACTCAGACTGAATAGGCCATAATGAAAATCTACCATTTCTAAGTTGTCTTATTTCTATTTTACTGCAAATCCATATGGACACATGGACACTCAAGATGTAGTATCTTATTACAAGTAATTCTGAGAAAATCCTTTTAACACTTTATTTTTAGAAACTCAAAATAGGATGGTTTGGTGGGAGGAACAAAGGGTATGTCTGCAAAGGAAGGTTGGGGCAGAATGATAGAGGGACTTAAAAACACTTCACACTTTTTTCCATCTGTCCAAAAGTTTTTGCTTTGGTTTGGTTTGATTTTATATAGCCAAGTGTAAAACCCACAAATTATTCTTTATTAATGCTTAATAAAGTACCAGTTCCAAAACTAAATCTTTTTAATCATGATCTTTATGAAACTGCAACATTAAGCCTTTGTTCAACTCTACAAATAAAGTCATCAATTTCATTTGAAATCGGTGAGTACAACAGACAAAGAGAGTAAAAGGAAAAGGGAAAGAAGAAAACTGACTTCAGTGACATTCAAGCACATGTCTAGAGTGTGCGGTGATCTCTCACACTACAATAGGGGGAAGAGAAACAAGGCCATACTGGGAAGAACATTGCTTCTTTTCACTTAAAAGCCAAATTTCATGGATCTTACCTGAAAAGTTTTTGTAATCCACTAAATCAAACATAACAACGGCAACAGCTGACCATGTGATTATCAGAGCAATGACCAGAAGCCAGGCTGCTGGGGAGCTGAACGTTGTCACGATGTCTTCTGTGACTGTCCTCTTCAGCACTTTTCCAGGGGATTTGGGCACAGATCCATTTTTGCTGTCTATCACAGTTGTGGTTGCGGATGCATTTCCTAATCAAACATTCAGAAAGAAAAATATAAGTCAGAAATTTGTGTCAAATATTGATGACCAAAAAACAGGCTATATGAATTTTGTAAGCTGTGTATAGCCTTTTCAATAGTAGAACAGCCCTCTCTAGTGGCAGAACCATACCTCCCTGCCCACTACCACAATATTTCTTCTTCCACATTTACTCTTCACTCTGAAACCCATATACCCATAAAATCAGCATTTCTCATCTCCCAACTTCCATATATGCTACCATCTGAGCCACAACCTTGTCACCATCTTCAATTTATTTTTTCTTCTCCCTTACCACTTTCTATAGCCACTATCATCAAGAGCAATGGATTTTTTGGTCAAGATGCCTTTTAACACTTTTTTTCTTTACTTAGGTTCACATGCCAATTCTGAAGGCAAGCAAAACTATCTCCTCTGGGGGAGAATCCAAATCAAAAATAGTTCAAATGGACGAAACTCCAACTGGATATCCTGGCTTAGCTGCATTATTGACTCCTCTAATGAGATTGTCCATTTTTATTACTTATTTATTGTTTTTGTAGAGGCACAGAAGATGTATGAGAATAATGTTGGAAAATTTTGTTATATCCAGCAACTTTTTTATTTCTAATTTTAAAGGGGTATATGTTCATAGAAAAAATTCAAAACCTGTAAAAATAACAAAATAAATAGATAGATAAATGTCATTTTCAACCCAGAAATGACTACTGTTAACATGTTATTCTATTAGCAACTAATTTTCACCACATACATATAAATATATTATAATGTTTTATTTGTTTTTGACAAGTCATCATCACACTGTCCTTCATGATTTTTTGCTAGGCAATATATAATAAATATGCTCTCTTGCCATTATGTATTCCTTAAAATACCCCTTAAATGGCTGCATGGCATGTCAATTCATGGTTGTGCATAATTTAGTCAAAAAGTTCTCTTCCTTGGACATGGCAAAAATATTGTCAGCACACAATAATTTTATATGTATGTATTTGAAAATTAATATAGTTTTGAAAATTGTGTATGTCAGTAGTGTTGTTTCCTTATTCTTGACAATACTGAGTATTGCTGGTATTTAAAATATTTATAATCCTGTAAGAGAAATATTGAGTTTCATTTGCAATTCTTTGGTTACTAGAGATGAGTTTTAATATGTTTATTATTCCTTTGCACTTCTTTTCTTGTGGGTTTTTTTCCTTCATCTTCCTATAATCCTCTTGGTGGTTTATAAAATAGTATACACACACATATACACACGATAACATTTTAACCTTTATTTTGCAATGTTTCCCTTTGTTTACCTTTCCTTTTTATGGTATTTTTATAGACAGAATGAACAATTAACAATTTTGTAACTCTTTCATTTTTCTCCAATAAAGATGCTGCTGTTCAATGACTAGATAAGCCTCCTCACTGGAGAGTAGACATATCTGATTACCTTGACTCAAAAGAAGTTAAATCTAGAGGTAACTTAGAGATCATCAGAAACAACTATGTCATGTTACATTTAAGAACACTTGAAAACTATCCAGAAAATGTGACTGTCATAACATTTTCAATCCCAAATTACACAGATGTGAGTTAAATAATTAAATACTTAAGAGGAAAAAAACTTTACCAATCCAAATATTTTTGCCAAAAGCACAGTTTAAAAACATATCTTCATGTGCATTAAATGTGAACCACATTTTCTGTAATAATTTAAGAATTATATGTCAAGAAAGAGAAAATTTTGATTAATTATATACTAATATAAATGATTAAATTTTTTCAACTTTACTATTCATCTCTAAATTACAACATTTTTATGTGTTGGATAAAAAGCAAGCCTAACTTTTCCCATTTCTTTAACATTTTTCACAAGGCAAATTTCACCTCAATGGAAAGAGTAGTTGTAGTTACTACTAGAATGTGCTAAATAATAATTGAAAGATTTTAGTACTTTCAAATGTAAATTCTTTGTACTCCTTGAAGGCTTCAGAGTGGAATGAAAGTGCTTCTTCCCATCTTTCAGCCTCTTTCTCTATCTTCATAATTCTTCTGGTTATGTCCAGCTTTTGCAGGAAAACAGTAAAGCAAAAAGGCTATGTCATGGGCTCTATAGACAAGAGATCGGTTGTGCTTAAATCCTGCCTCCTCCTTGTGTTAGCTGAATGGCTGGGAGGTCCCTATTATACAACACCTCTGGATGAGAAGCATCTGTAGCTGCTGAAGGAGAATAATAAGCCTCAATTTGCAGGTTTGTGATGGTGGAGAAATAACTCACACAAACTATGTGGCACATTTCCTGGTACTTCATAATTATTTGATAAATGGCAATATGACTATTAAACTACATCATTATAATTATTATCATCATAACCATCATCATGACAACTATCACTACCTGTGCTACTACTACTATGACTGTGACTATGACGATGACCATTACTATCAGTATAGGAAGGGCCAGAAGGGCAAGATTAACCTCAGAAACAAAAGTTGACAACAACAAAGTACTGTGTATCTTTGAATAGCTAGTTGAGATGATGTTGAATGTTCCCAACACAAAGAAGTGGCAAATGTCTGAGGTAATGGATATTCTAAGCGCTCTGATATGATCATTGCACACAGTATGAATGTACCCAAACATCATATTGTACCCCATAAATATATGCAAGTGTCATGGGTCAATTAAGAAAAATAAATTATAAGGAGAAAAACAAAAGGAGAAATAGAGAGTAGAATAGTGGTTACTAGAGACAGGGAAAGGGAGAGGGGAAGGGGGAATGGGAAAATGTTGCTAGACCCACACAAAGTTACAGTTGGATAGGGAGAATACGTTCTGGTACTCTAGGGTGACAATAGCTAATCATACTGTGTTGTGTATTTCAAGATAGACAGAAAAGAGGATCTGGAATAATGTTATATCCACAAAGAAATGATGAATGTTTAGGTGATAGATATAATAACTGCTATGATTGGATCCTTATACAATATGTGCATGTATTGAAACAACAAACTGCCTCATAGACGTGTACAATGAAAAAAATTAAAAACAAAACAATACAAAAACAAAGGTTGAAGGATTGACTCTTCAGTAAATACAGACATTTGTTTCCATTTAATAAGCACATATTTTGGGCTAACATATTTTATGGACCCAAAAAAGGATTCTATGACTCCTTCAGAATCCTTTTTAATCAACTAATTGATTTCTTGTAACACAAGAAAAGAGTAACACATATTGTAATTTATTCATGTAAGTAGAGGCTGTTTTGCCCCATTAGCAAAATTATGAGAGATGATTCATAGCAAATCATTTTGTTATAATATAAACATTATCAATATAACTGAATTCTTTAAACTAGATAAATAAAGTTTGAACATTTCAAACATGTGTACACAGGATACTTATAGTATAAATCTAGTTTATGAGACAGTGTTTAAGCATTAGGGGAAGAAATTAAAATACTACATGCAAAATTAAGTACCCTACTTAGTAAAGTCTTACTCCTTTCTATTCCTTTACCCATGAAATGGTACTATTCTTCTACTTACAAAAGTCAAATAAATAACATAAAATTTTACAACTACCCAGAAAAAAGAAAATCAAATATATTCAACAGTACATGCTGGTAGGTAATTATAATCAAACATAACTAATACAACTACTTTTTAGACAACAACAGTATATCTAGGCCTATATTTTGAAAAGATTAAAAGGCCAATGAGGAACATCAGTTGTAAAATGATTTAGTTAAGATTTTAAAATAACTTTAGATAGAAATTAACAATAGTAACAACAAATCTTTCTTTTCTAAAAACAAAAAACAAACAAAAAAAAAACCTATGGGCATACGTATCCCAAGTTCATGAACTCAATTTAGTGGAAATGATAGCAAGATGGAAAAATACTTTCAAAAAATAGATTTCACAGACTGTACTTGAGGTGGTGCTCAAAGAAAAAAAAATTAGAAAGATAGAAAGAAGTCATATTAAATCCTCTCATTGATTTCTGTGCCAAATTCCCATCACTCCTAATAGTAGTTCTGAGAATGGGTGAAGGATAGGAGTGCTTTGAAATGCGATTTAAGACCCAAGTGGGGCTACAAGTGAATCAAACCTTTGGAATAATGATTTGCAGGAGAGTTAATGAATTATGAGTGTTTAGGAGTGGCCCACCTGAAAGTTGATATGTTACTGATCTCCAGTTTTAACCCCTGGAAGGCTTCTCACTACCATTAAGTAGAGAACACCTGAAGAATTGCTTTTGCACTTGAGATTCACTTCAGTGAGCTGCGAATTAGAGAGTATTTCTGAAGACAATATCACGCATACCTGCTTAGTATCTTGAAACTATAAGATAAAGTTCACTGAGATTTGATACGGATTAGTTGAGTCCTGGTCACATTTTTAGAAAGCAAAAATTTTCAAAAGATTGTGAATTTCCATATATATTTTTTTCCTGTCTTTGATCAGAAAAATTAGAAACTATATAAATTCAGGAAGTAATGCAAATTGTGAGTTAAAATATGACTTTTTATGTATTTTAAAGAACTGACATAATACAAATTCTTAATTTTAACTCACTGTGTGATTCTGCCAAGACATTTCTGTTACGATTTTTAAATAGACAAAAATAATAAAGTTAACACGGAATTGTTTTTCATCATCTTTTTTTGTCTTCATATCTTCAAAATTTCCACTTAAGAATTAATCAAGACTTAAATGTGATGAAAATATATTCTGAGTATTCAACGACAAAGCCATAAGCAATCTGAAAGTAATTTGAAGGTTATCCTGCTTAAAGAAAATTATGTGTTGCCTTTGTTATAAAACACACTAAGTTGTACCTTTCATTTTCCATTCAAATTTACTGCAAAAGCCACACTGAGCCAAGAGGAATAAAATTGAGAGGGAATAAATTGCCTTCTATGACAGCTGGTCAAGATAAATGCAAAGAACAGAGTGTGTAATCTGAGATTATTTAATGTTTGAGAAGCACTTT